GATCCATCCAAAGTAGAGGCAATGAGCAATGAGTTCATGGCCAGTACCGGTTACATTGAAAGAATTAAGAGGATTCTTGGGACTAACTGGTTATTATAGAAGGTTCATTAAGAACTATGGAGCAATCAGTGGACCTTTGACGGATTTATTGAAGAAAGATGCTTTTATATGGGGTTTTAAGGCTCAAGAAGCTTTTGAAAGCCTCAAAGTTGCAATGGTTTCAGCTCCAATCCTGGCTTTACTAGATTTTACTCAAAGGTTTACACTAGAATGTGATGCCATTGATTGTGGAATTGGCGTAGTCCTTATGCAAAAGGGAAGGCCTATTGCTTTCCTCTCAAAACCACTCAGCCCGAGAAACCAGCAGCTATCAGCATATGAAAGAGAATTGTTAGCAATCCTATTTGCAGTTTCTAAATAGAGACACTACTTGGAGCAAAGCCAATTCATTATAAGAACTGATCACAAAAGCATAAAACATCTCCCAGGACAGAGGTTACACACTTATGTTAAGCAAAAATGGGTCACTAAATTGTTGGGGTTAGACTATAGAATTCAATACAAAAAAGGGGTTGAGAACAAGGCTGCGAATACTCTATCCCGGAAGCCAGATATGGAGTATCTATGCTACCTTGCTTTTTCTATTATTCTAGCATGGATGGAAGAAGGCCGGGAATCATATGAAGGCGACGAGGAAGCTGCAATGCTACTACAAGCTTGATCAGTCAAACCTGACTTTGTAGCTAACTGTACTCTCAAAGCTGGACTTATATATTATAAAGGTAAGTTGTACGTGGGGAGCAGTAATGATTTGAGGTCCAAATTAATGGAGACTTGTCATGAATCACCTCTTGGAGGACATTCAGGAATCTAGAACACTTACTAGAGGTTGAGATAAGTGTTTTACTGGCCCGGGATGCAAAAATCAGTAATGGAGTGGGTTCTAACTTGTGATGTTTGTTGAAGATACAAGTCAGAGTCTTGTGCCTACCAAGATTACTTCAGCTGCTGCCTATTCCATCGCAAGCCTGACATTCCATATTGATGGATTTCATTGACAAACTACCTAAGTCTCAAGGGTTCAATTCCATACTAGTAGTGGTGGACAGATTCACCAAGTGTAGCCATTTCTTTGCTATATCTCATCCTTATTTAGTTGCTAAGGTATTCATGGAAAAGGTGTTCAAGTTGCATGGGCTACCTGAAAATATTATTTCTGACAAAGATCTTCACTGGTTAATTTTGGCAAGAACTCTTCCAACTATTGGGCACTAAACTACAACTCAGTACTGCCTATCACCCTCAGACGAATGGTCAAACAGAAAGGGTAAATCGTTGCCTAGAAGCTTATCTGCGATGCATGTGTTTTGCACAACCCAGACATTGGGCAAAATGGTTGTATTTGGCAGAGTGGTGGTACAACACCACTTTTCACAATTATCAGAAGATGACACCATTTTAGGCCCTATATGGGTACCCTTCTCCTTTACCAGTTTTGCCTAATAATTCCACTTCGGTGACAGCTGTTGAAGAATTCCTAACTCAAAAGGCTCAGATGTTTGATCAACTAAAGGAACAATTGGCAATTGCAAGCAATAAAATGAAGTAATATGCAGATTGACACAGGTCAGAAAGATAGTTTAAAGTGGGGGATTGGGTATATTTAAAACTACAGCCATATCGACAATCAAGCATCGCACTCAAGAAGTCACTCAAACTAATAGCACGATACTATGGTCACTTCCAAGTGTCAGAGAAGATTAGACCTATGGCTTACAAACTGAAACTACTAGAGAATAGTTTCATCCACCCTAGTTTTCATGTTTCATTATTAAAAAATAAAATTGGAGATAGAACTGTGCTAATCAATACTCAACCAGAGTTGAAGGAAGATGAGTTCATAGTACATCTAGAAAAAATCCTCAATTAGAGGATAATTCTGAGAAATAACCAGCATATTTCTCAAGTGGTCATCAAATGGAGCAGCTTGCCATTTGTAGACTGTACGTGGGAGGACCTCACTTTTATTCAGGCTCAGTTCCTAAACTTTATGCATTCTTGGGGACAAGAATGCACTCAAGTGGGAGGAATTGTTACGTATAAAAGGAAGGGAAAGGCAAAGGCAAAGGCAAAGGCAAATTAGTTATGCTTTTTGGACTGTTATGTTTTTCATAATTTCAAAGTGTTTGTTAGTGACCATCTTTAACCACCTGTAGTTGGTTAAAGATGGTCACTAACAAACCACCATATATACTCAATATTTGTAGAGAGGGATTATCGATGAATTAATACAAAAACTCTCCAGACTTCTCCTCTCTATTTTTCTTTCCCTTCTCTTTCTCTTCTCCTTCTCTTCCTTTCTTCTTCCGTTCTACTCTCTTCTTCTCTTAATTTCTCAAGATTGGTTTCAGTCATAACAATTGGATTCTCATTATAATTATATTTGTTAACATCTTACAAAGATGATTCATTGTTTATTAACTTGATATGCATGCTGGAACATGATGTGAAGAAAGCGTTGATGCAACTCACTTACATGACTTACATCACAAAACAAAAGCGTTGATGCAACTCAAAACAAAAGCATTGATTCAAGTGAAAACAAAACACTTGAAATCCTCCAAAAAATCACTTACATCAAAAAACAAAAGTGTTGATGCAACTCAAAATCAATCTCTTCTTCAATCCTTCTTCTTCTTCTTCTAGTTTAGATTTAGGGTTTTGGTTTTTGTTTTGGGTTTGATGTTGAGTTGGGTATGTGTTTTGTTTGGTTTCTTAGAAAATCAAGGAAAATGATAAAAAAAAAAATTGAAGACATAAAATTTCATTTTTCTATGTACGTTATTCAAGTTAAATAAGGAAATTTAATGTTTTAATTATAATTTTTCTTATGCTGTGTTTTGGTTAAATTATTAATTATGTAAAAATGTTTATTTGGCTCAGCTGAGTGATAATTTCAATTTATTTTATTGTCCAAAGAATTGATATTCTAGGTTTGCTGAGTGAGTTTTCTCTTTTTAATTGCAACCAGTTAAGTCTGATTTTGATAAAATTGCTTTGGATTGATTCTAAGAAATGAGAAACAAAAAAGGTAAATTTGTATAGAATGTGCATGATTCATAGCATGAAATGGGAAACTTATAAGAATATGAACTATAATAGAGAATGTAAAGCTTTTATAATACTAAAACGTAGATTATGATTGTTAATTGTGTAATTATATTATTATATTTAAGTTTAAACCCAATGTATAGTCTAGGGCTCCCTAGTTGGGTCTCCTAATAGTATATATGTATACTATTTCTCATTTTTTAGGACGGGAGGTCTCTAGTGGGAATGATGGTTACTATTTATCCATGCAAAGTATGTCATTGATTTTTTATCTCAAGCTGGTCTCTCTGATAGAAAGATTGAAATCACTCCTCTAGAGACCAATCTTAAGCTTCGTGCTACTAATGATAAGCCTTTTTTTTATGCTACTAGGTATTGCCAGCTTGTTGGGAGTCTCATNATTCAGGGTGGATACCCGCCAAGTGTGCCTTGGCTTTATTGCTCAAGAAAAACTTATTTATAAGTTGGCTGCACAAATAGGAAGACGAATGTCAGAAGTTTAATAAAATTATGTTAAAGCGAGAAAACTTCTATAAGAATGGTTAATTATTGTCAACCCCTTTGTTGAAGCACTCAGTTTCGCACTTCATCTAACAGAAGGTGATCGGATGGTCATGACGAAGGCATTTCTTCTCACAATGACTGAAACATTTGGTGATATCATCTTCCTTAGCCTCAACCGCGGCAACTAAAACAAGGCACACAGCACCAATAATGCAAACTACTTTGTTTGCCATTTTTTCTGTCTTTTGCAGTGTTGTTATCTTCTGATTTAATTTGAATATGAGTCATATTTTGATAAGAATAAAGAGTTAATTGCATTTGAGTTTGAAGATTTGAGGAGTGAGGAAGTGTCATTTTATTGGTTTTTGCAATTTAAAAAACGAAAATGTAAACAAAAACAGGAGAAATGGATACATAAATGAATAGTCGTGAGGATGAGATCAACACATACGAGCTTATGGACTGTGGTTACGAAAATCCGCAACAACCCGCAATACCCAATTGATCTCAAAGGAAGTGGGTAAAATTTGAGTGTGATTAATAATAATCAACAAAAAATAAATGAAATTGTAAAGAAAAAGAAACAAATAAAACTTTTAAAGTGATTCGACGAGTTCAAATTACGTCTACTGTTATGCTATTTAAATGTTTTTGTCTTACAATAGTAGTCTCTCCTCTTAAGATTTTCTAATCCCTATACAATGATTTTTAGGGGTTTTTATACTATGAAACTACAACATTTACAAGATAAAAAATAGGGACAATGGGATGATTTTAAGAAGTTAATCTCATGATTCTTAACGTGATTAATAGGACAAGACGAAATTATAGGGACTGTTCTCGTGATCTACTCTTTCATTTTAGGAGATAATATTTATCTATGATTTGAAAGATAACCACCCAACAACTTGCTCCCATTTGATGGCCGCTTCACTATTTGCTCCGAGCTATAGCTCTTTCCGAACTATTGCTTGCTCCAAGCTGATCGCGCATCCTTGCACAACATGGACTAATCAAATTTGAAGGAGATACTTAACAACTATTTTGACATTAATTTTATTACTTTTAAAGTCAATTGTTAGATTAAATGGGATATTAATCTTATAGGTATAGTTTTATTCATATGAAATACATACCTCAAGCAACTGTAAAACACTAAAACTGATCTGCTTAATAAAGGTTGGGATAATCTAAAACCAGCGCATACTAATATCATTCCGAATTGAGACCATCGCTCTTCCTACATCCAAACAAAGGAGTCTAAACTCTCAAGTAAAATCTCAATGACCAAACTACCCTCCCAAAACCCGATTCTTTCTTGTTCCTCAAGACGCCATTTACTTAAAAAAGTAAAACAAAATAAAACCTCACTCTCATCTCGCCAGTAGTCCAACAACACACAGAAACAGATCGACGATACCACCACCAGCAGATCCACCGAAACATGGAGTGCGTGTTCGGTTTAGTCGGAAACGGTTTCGCAATCTTAGTGGCCGACACGTCGGCCGTTCACAGTATACTTGTTCACAAATCTAACGAAGACAAGATCATGGTCCTCGATTCTCACAAACTCATCGCCGCCAGCGGCGAACCCGGTGACAGGTACATTTATTTATACATGTTTATGTGTGTCTTTCTCTACGCATACGTACGCGTAGTATACGTATTTATTTGTTTGTTTATTCGATTTCTTCTTCTACAGAGTTCAGTTTACCGAGTTTATTCAGAAGAACGTGGCGTTGTACCAGTTTCGCAACGGAATTCCGTTGACGACGGCGGCAGCAGCCAACTTTACGCGAGGAGAGCTTGCTACTGCTTTGAGAAAGGTAATTGTTTCAGTTGCGGTGTAGAATTAGGGTTTTTTTAAGTGTGCCATTTTTTGATTTACTGGCTTATTAAGTGTCGTGGTTGTGTATTTGACTAATCAATTGATAAATGATTAATAAAATTTGAAGATCGTTTGATAATTAGTAAGGCATTTGGGATTCTTCTAGTGATGTAAGTAGACCTTCAGCAAGGTCTTCCTTTCTTTTAGTAAATTAGATTTAGTGCTTGGATTATTTGAATCTAATGTTTCATATCTTGTAGATATAAATGTGTTCCATTGAAGTGACGTAGTGCATATTAGGTATTACTAGACCCCTTATGTGAATAAGTCTTGGAACTAAATCACTTTTTCGACATTGTTTTACTTGCTGGCTGGTGTTTATACGAAATTAGGTGATATTTTTTTTCATGTCTGTTGTTATGTATTGATATGCTACTCAGGGTTCTTGTATGTTTCTCATCTTATGCTTTGATTGATTAAAAACAAGAAGAAATTGGCCCTTGGCAATTGGAAGTGGAAAAAAATGGGTAGCCCTGCTCTTGTTTGGCTACTATTTTTCTTGTGCAATGTATGCTAAGGAGTTATTTTGATGAGTTACCGCTGTAGGCATTGCAAATTTTTCTTGCTAGTGATTGCCTGGAAAAATTAAGCTAGATTATTCTTGGACAACATGTAGGAAGGGTTATAGTCTAATGTGTGACAACTTTGGCTTTTAATTGGGGAATCAATTGATGTGAAACTTATCCAAATTACTGGTTTTCCCATTTTGAGTATATTTTTTTTTAACTTTAATTTTTGAATTTTTATGAGGCTGAGATTACATCTTCTAGAAACTTTGTTGTTGGCACTATGAAATGTGATGACTAATGACGAGGTTATTTTTGTGTCTCTATTTTACAACTTCTTCTTCATGAATGTCCTGTCTCTTGTGTGCAATAAGTGCTAAACTTATGGTGTTTTAGTTAAGTTGAGATGAAAGTATTGTGTAAGTGACTTTCATCAGGTCATATTTAAAACATTGAGTGTCTAAGCACAGATGAATACAAAGGTGAATACCATTCTGTGATGAGTTAGAATTTTTATTTTTATGGATAGACAAGTAATAGGGATTTAGATATTTACAAGTATGGTGAATTTTTTTAGTATTTGCATTCTCTGGTACCACTAGATAGGCCTTAGAAAGGTCAATTCTTTTCAATGGCCTAAATTACTTTGTCCACTGTCTGTCCTAGAGTGAAGAGTGTGGTTAAATCAAGTTCTATTATTGTTCTTTATTTCTGCTAGTTCCTTTCAAGTTCTTGTTTGGAGGATATCTTCCTGTTATCTTCCTTTTATGATTGCTTCCCATTTGGTCATTAGGTTTAATTTCTAAATTTTCTTTGAAAAAGGGGCATAAATATGATGTTGATGCTTTAGCTCACACATTTATAATCTACGTTAATGGTTAGTCCTTTCTTGATCGCCCTTCAC